CTTTTTTCCCTTCCCCCCTTTCAAAAAAAAGGCTTTCTCCCCCCCCCCCCCCCACCTTTTTTCCCTTCCCCCCTTTCAAAAAAAAGGCGCCAGCCCCCCCCCCCCCCCAAAAAAAATAAAAATAAACAAACAAAAAAAAAAATCCAAAACTCTTCGGACATTTTCACACTGGAATAGTCCAGGGAACTCATTTCAATTAGTTGTCATATGCCTAAACATGTCACACCTTCATTTGGTTTGGTACAGTTTCACACTGCACTTTTTAAAATCAGACAAAACCAACTGTACTACACCATGCTGTTACAGAGCTCTTCTTTGGGACACCAACATAAGAAGCTGCCCATTATGGGCAGAATAGGAAATCTCTTTCTCTTCTGTGTTTGGTTTGCTAGATAGTCTGTTTGCTGTCTCACTAAACCACACAATGATTCACTTTTTAGTGAACCACAATTCACTTGTGAAATTTGCATGAGATATTAGATGAGTTGTCTTAAATGTCCAATTGAAAAAGACTTATGTGAAAAAAGAAATAATATAAAAAAAAATAAACTCGTGCTTGTGACAATGCAATGCTTTTTTGCCACCAAGCCAAACTTAAATTAAGATTAACATATTTTTGTATATAGGGTGTGCATGCTACACCCTGGTAGCATTCATTCAGAAATCACAAGTAGTGAATATTGTGGGTTTAAAAATATGAAGAGATCTATGCAGTAGATATAGATGTAGATACCAAACTTAAAACATAGACAAGTGTCAGGTCAGAAACTAGGAAGATTTGAAAATTGCTTTGCTAAACAGGTGAAAAGGTAATGTTCATATGGCATCCCCTTCTTCCATTTTGTATTTTATCATATTTATAGTCTAACTGCTATCCAGTATCCAACTATTCTTGTTCTTCCATCCAATAGCAAGAGGTTAACCTACAAACCTTTGCTGCAGCCCTTCACTTACTGACAAAACAACCTCTTTAAACTTAAAGTTCACAACAGTTTTAACACTCACAAATACAGGCATTTGAAGGAGCCTGTGCACACCACCACCAATACTACAAGAGAAAATTACAGTTATTAAAGAAGAGAGAAAAAAACCATAAGCACAACTAAATCTTTTGCATTTTGTTCTCACTGTCTGTCTCCTGCTTTGGTCACGACATCCGCCTTGTTAGTCACCATGACGTCTTGAAGCTGCTGCCTCTCAAACAAAATCTGTCCTCGTTTATGCTCCCCCGTCACTGGACAAAATACTGAATAAAGCGTCCTTCTATGAGCTCACATTGAAATAGAATAGAATACATGTTGTTCTCGATGTTGGAGTTCAGATTAAAAAAATGACGTCTCACTTGATTTGTGTGCGTTCTAGTCACAAAGAGGAAAATTGGTGAGGTTTTCTACTTTTGAGGGGTAAAAATACTTCCAGTAAAGGAAGCCAAAAATGAAAATTTTCTATCCATGTGATGCAAACAAGCTCCAGAGGAACATTTCCAAACATTGCGTGTGTCTCACTAAGATTTTTACCTTTAAGCATTTAAAAACTGTTAGCACATTTAGCATGTGCCTCTTACTGTAATTGTGATCTGCTCCTACGTGTGGCTGCTTAAAACTTGACTGTACGCAATCTGTTCTTTTTGACCTTTAGCTTTAGTGTGGCGAGTCCAATCAGCCTTGTAGGATGCCTCTTGGAGAGGATGGAAACGGATGGAAGAAGAAGACATCAGACATCAAAGAACATTATGACTTCAAAGAAGTGCTGGGAACGTAAGTAATGTAGCAGTTAAATTACGTTTTTTTTTTTGTTTTTTTTTTAACACAACCTGCCAAATGAGCACCTTTTGATCTAAGTAGTTTCAAGGTGTAATAATATACACTGCTCAAAAAAAATAAAGGGAACACTCAAATAACACATCCTAGATCTGAATGAATGAAATATTCTCATTGAATACTTTGTTCTGTACAAAGTTGAAAGTGCTGACAACAAAATCCCACAAAAATCATCAATGGAAATCAAATTTATTAACCAATGGAGGCCTGGATTTGGAGCCACACACAAAATTAAAGTGAAATGTTCCCTTTATTTTTTTGAGCAGTATATATAGTGAGCTGAGTGCACATGTATTCGTCCATCGGTTTGAACAGGTGCAAATCTACAGATGAAAAGACTTTGGACTAGTGTATCTGCTGTCTAGAGAGAAAATAATGCACTCAAAATGTGACACTGGCATTATTTATCCCAATGCACTCTTTCTACAGAGGCCCCTGCATTAGGAGATTTGCTCAAAGCATTTTCAAAACTAATCCTAAACAATTCCAAACAACTGGATACCAAAATAAGTGCATATTCAACACGCACAAAGGCTCGCAGATGAAGGAATAAAGAGAATGTTTTCATCCCATCAATCCTTGCTGTTTGGGCTGTAGGACTCAAGCCGGGACACTGGAGATTTTGGGTCAAACATCTCTTGTTCTTGGCCACGGCTTAGAGCCGACTTTGCTGTTTCCCATATAAACCCACACATCACTCTTTCCACTCCCACCAACTGTTTTCCTTCCCCGAAGTACAGTTAACTTTTATAGTTTGGTTAGCGTAAAAAGAAAAAAAAGTGCCATAAGCTCAGAATGTTGTGTGGTGAAAGTTTTGGTTTTAGACTTCATTGCAGTTGTGAATCGGCCCGAGTTGATGCTTTGGGGGAATTTAGTCCTCAGGTTTATAGGAATTTAAAGCCACCTGACTTCGGTGAGTTGTTCACATAAATCTCACGTGAAATGAAGGGGAAAGAACATTTGGTTCTCAAAGGGGGATTTTTTTTTTTTTTTTACAAATGAGTCTGAAGAGTTTGGCAAGAATTTATATTGAGAGAATAATTTCTGCCACAATGTTATTTTGTGTATATTTCTACTAATTTCGCACATTTAGAAGCAGATTTTTTTGGTCCATTTTTTCTTTGCCAAATAGCTCACGTTCAGCCAATTTGGATGGAGAGTGTCTGTGAAAATCTATTTTCACATCTTGCCACAAATTTTAAGCTTCCAGACTTTTCAGACTGGGCTGTTCTACCATGCTCTGATCAAAACGAGTTCATGTTGCTCTGTTTGTGTTTGTTTATGATTATTGTCCTGCTGGAAGGTAAATTTCTCCCCTTTCCTGAATTTTTTTTTTTTTTTTTTTTTGCAGCTTTTGACATTCTTTCTTCCAGTATTCCCCTGTATTTAGCTCCTTCAACTCTGATCAGCTTCTCTCGACCTGCTGAAGTAAAGCATTCCCACAGCATGATGTTGCCACTACATATGAGCCACTGTGTGTTCTTGTCAAGTCCAGAATGATGTACACATGGATTTGTTTTTTGTTCACATTTCATCTGATCCAAACACCTTCTTCAACATTTTTGCTCATTGTTTGTGTTTTAGCCATGCTTTTGCAAAAACAGCATTTACTTTCTTTTTCTTTTCTTTTTTTTTAAGAGCTGTAAACCTTTCAGCTATGGAGTTAAAGAATTGTACTTTACAACAGACATTTTGAGTTTCCTGGGAAGAGAAGTCGAGTTTTACTTTTATTACAGTCTGATTTGCGCCCAAAGCTCAGGGAGACGCTAAAGGAAATCACTACTCGTTGTTAAAACTGGGCTTTGTTTGCAGTGACATATCAGTTTATGAAGTCTAAAACAATATATGCTTTAGATTTTACAGCACACAGCAGTATGGAGTCTGTAAATCTGTTTAACACCTTCTTTGCTTTTTTCAAGAGTCAGGGGGAATTGGATGCATCTGTGTTCCATCTTACACTAAAGAGCCGACTGAATATGATGAATCGATGCACAAACTCTTTAGGGTAATCAAGACCAATGGATGGCATTAATGAAACTGCTGCCATTAACCCTGACAAATATTTCAAATACATAATCTACTGCTGAACGTTACTTTCCGCTGCTCTTACTCTGACCCTGGTTAGATTATTTTATTGCTACCGAGTCTCAATTTTGAAATTCAAGTTATACTTTGATTTATTCATCCCATTTTTTTTTTTTCAAGAATTGCTATATTAATCACAAATCAGTGGCATAAAGTAAGTAAAGTCAAGAGCTGGGCTCTGATTTTCTCTGTCCAAAAGGGACAGGACTGAGCCCAGATGGTCAGGGAACAACTTCCCACTCTCAGTCTGTGTACAGGTGATCCCAGCGCATGCCCACCTGTCATGACATGATGCCACCATATGTGGTGAGACCGTTTTTTCCTCTCATTTTGGAATCACACCTGCTTCCCCCGGAGAGGCTGGACAGCATTGGACATTAATTCCCGCAAAACACTGGTCCAGCTCCAGGAAAGTGAAACAGCAGTGATTCAAATTAAACTGTTATTCCCAATGCTGAAAGAGCACAGCAGATAATACTTAACCACATCCACGTGTCAGATGTGGATATTCACTTTTTAAGTTTAACAAACTCTAAAGTTGAGAATTTCTGTTGATTTCTTCAGCAAATATTTGACAAACACTCATTTAAATGTCTGTAATTTAAACGAGGACCTAAAAAGTTATATAACAAGGTCTAATATGTGATTTGCTGGGATTCCTTGTTTCCTTATTTTAATAGGGAAAAAAAAAGAGGAAAAACAAGCTGCAATAATATTTTTCCCTCCTGTCGCTGTAGATGGACCTGACTGAGAGCAGAATTAAACGCAAAGATGGAAAGCTCCTTATGCTCAGAGAAAAGATTACAGAGGAGCTTCATCCAGGAATTCAGTGTGTGGAGTTAATTGATTTATGTTGAAATATTATTTTCAGATCCGGCTAATCCCCACAGTTCTACCTCTGTTTGGAATCCATTTTAGGACAAACTGTCCTCATCAGAGGGTTAGCAGATGGGAGAGAAATTTCCCATTTTCATCAGTTATGTTAGTCTCAGAGTAGAGACATTTTTTTTCCAATTGTGTTTGTTCTTCTAATGAACAATTTTTCTGTAAACATTAAAATGTATTCAAACATAACTAGATGAATCCCCAATTCAGTGAATCTAAATTTGAGGCAGAGACACTCAGTCTTGCACAAATATTCACAAAGGGTTTATTATCCTTTGTAAAATGTTGCTGTTACAGCATATTTTCATTAAATAAAACACCATACGTTCTAAAAATGTTGCCATTCAAAAAAAAAAAAAAAAAAAAAACTACCCAAAGAATGCAAGGAGACAACATTTAAACCAGTATTAATTTTACTGAGGAATAGTCATACAGGCAGATGTGTAGATTAGAGCAACAAGGGATAAAGATTGTATTCAAAGTTTTCCTTTGAGGTGTAATTTCAGATGTTTATTGATGGATGAAAGTATTTTGGGAGTTTTTATATGGTGCAAATGTAGGAACCATGTTTTCTAACAAGGATTTCATTTCATAGACTTTTTTTTTTTTTAAAAACAAAGTACA